CCTACTTTCAAGGGTCATTTCGTCCTCAAGGTACCTTACCTTAAGCTCCGCAAACCCTCAGCTTCCTAACCCTGGCTGTACTCTACACCCGAAGACCGACACCCTAAGCCCTGCACTCCAACCCTCAGGCTCTAAAGCGCAAACACCGAGCGTGACATATACGCCTAAATAATTACCAATGTTTGTCCTTAGGTTCCTTACTCTAAGTATACTCTCGAGGGGCCCAAAACGCTGTTCTAATCATTAACATTACGCTTGACTCCTGCGCTAAACTCCAGAAGCCTGAACTCCTGCATCATCTACCCCAAAGCCTCAGCTCTAAACCCCGAAACCTACACTTGGAGGATCATGGGACTTAGTAAGTAAGGTGTTTGTGGGAGTTTTAAGTAGTGATACTTCTAGTTATACCTTAATCGAATCACAGCAACTTACTAAGGCCCATGATTCTCCAAGCAGGCTTTCGTGGGCTCATATGGCTTTATAGCGGTTTTGGAAGGTTTTGTTGCGTTTTTTAACGAGCGGCTCTGTAGCAAAGGCTCCCCTAATCCCTAAACCCCTAAAGCCTTAAGCCCTAAACCGGGCTCTTGACCCGACCCGCGCGGACGCGGCCCGGAGGTACCCTATAGCTCAAATATAGTACCCCTAATATAGTACCCTAATAGCCCTAATATGGTACCCTAAACAGTAGGGGACCCTATTATAGTACCCTAAATAGTAGGGGACCCTAATATAGTACCCTAAATAGTAGGGGACCCCAGTAGAGTACCTTAAATAGTAGGGGACCCTAACATAGTACCCTAAATAGTGGACCCTAAACCCTAAACCCTAAAACCCTAAACCCTAAATGCTAAACCCTAAACCCTAATATACCGGAGGTACCCCTGCGTGTCGCCTCTGCACGGCTGCCCGGAGGCGCTCCTGCTCTGACGGCCCATGGGTTGAGGGAATTTTTGGGTTTATATTTGGGTTCCCTTTAAAGGGAGTATATAAGGGTTCCTTTAGGCTCCATAAGGCTACTGTAGGGGTCTTAAGGGGTTTGAGGGTTTTTTGGGGTTTAGGGGTTTAGGGTTCCTTTAAAAGGGGTGCTATAGGGGTTCCCTTCAAGGGATCTATAAGGGTTGAGGGTTTAGGGGTTGAGGGTTGAGGGGTTACGGGTTTGAGGGTTTAGGGTTAAGGGGTTGAGGGTTTAGGGTTCAGGGGTTGAGAATTTAGGGTTTAGGGGTTGAGGGTTTAGGTTTAGGATTGAGGGGTTGAGGGTTTAGGTTTAGGGTGTTTGTTAAAAGGGCTCTGTTTCAGGGTTCCCGTACTCTTTGTATACGGGTCCTTTTGAGTTTAGTTTTATGGCTTGGAGGGTATGGGGATTTGCTCCTAAATCCCAAACCCGAGGCTAAGTTTATGTGGTTGACTCATCTTTTGTTTTTCGTTGCGGCATGTGCAGGTTGATCAAGAGAACGTCTGCGGCTTTTTACTTCAAGTATCAGGAAAGTAGCAAGTAGTCATGAGGATATACCTTAACATTCAGCGGCTTATCTATACACTTGCAGCCCTACATAGAATTTACTTAATAGTGGGCTTAGTAAGACGAAGTATTCTGATGGTTGTACCTTGCATGTCCACGGGTTTTCAGGAAGTAAGAGAAATGTAACCCCACTTTGAGGCAGTCACATGCCTACTTACAACTTGTTTCGTGTATCTTCCGGTGCGACTCTGTTTTGCCAGTCTCGGAGGAGCTACGCTACACCAGCTGAGTGTGTCGTGCAAAGTGCTCACAAGCATGGAGTTTAGGGTTCAGCCTAAAGCCTAAGCCCTAAACCCTACGGCCGTTTCTTGCTTCTCCTTCTGTGTATGTTCTAGAAGGAAGCCGGGACCGGTCCCTTTAGGGTACTTATATGGGGGATGTTTACCCAAACCATAATAGTAGCTCTGAATATACAAGCCCGTTTTCCTAGTATATACGTACTTAGGACCCTTTGTGCCAACTTTCTACTTCATGGAGACCCAACAGACCCTCACTACAGACTTGCAGATTCACTGGGAGTGCCAGAGTTCGTCTCCCGATGGTGTTTTTGCTGTTGTTGTGTCAGGGTTTATGCTTTTCGAGAACTCAACTAGGGATTCAAGAATTGTGCAGAAGTTTTTCTAGGCTGTAGAGGACATGTTAAAGTCCCTTATCCAGCACTCAGTCTTCCCAATGCGGACTTTTCTTGATACTCCGTTGGTACAGGGTTGTTGATAGCATGCCCATGCCCCTCTAGCAGGTGATTTAAGACGCTTAAGAGTACCTTTCCTAGGCAGGGTGGACAGACTATTCACTGCAGAAAAATCAAAGAGTCCGCACTTGCCTTTCCCTTAGGTGGTCGTTTCAATATATTAGGCTTTGAGGTCTCTCTTGTTTTTGAAAGTGGAGGCGCCTTCGACCCGAACTGCACTTGGCAGCAGCATATATGTACCAAGCCTGGCGTAGTCGTGAATGGTTAAGGGTTTAGGGTTTAGGGGTGAGTATATGAAGAAGGATCAGAGGAAGAAGGCTGCAAGGCAAATTTACAAATACCCTAGTTCTAATTGGTGCCATCTTACTGACAACCGTACTTCTAGCACTGTATGGGTACATGGACCCGAAGGGAAAGCAGGCAACCTGGAAAGGGGGCATTGCAGATGTCCACATGCCTGGCTACGCTCTGTGTTGCAAGATAATCGGCAACAAATGTCCCCAGACCCTGACCCCCTGGACATGTTTTCATGGCGAACTACCCAAAGAGCCCAGTACCCAGTAATTCATGGACTGGTCCTAGAATTGTGTATGACTACTTGTAGAGCAGAGCAATATGCGATGCTGTGCGGCCGCCGCGGAGACCGCAGCATGGTCTCAGCGGCAAGGTAGCTCCGTTGCCGCTGGGCGCAGACCGCAACGATTTGTTGGCGGCGTTTGCAGCAGGCAGCGGCGAGAAGAATCTGCTTTCGCAGATGGCTTCACTCGTTTCTTTTCATTTGGAGGTTGCCTGAAGATAAGAGGAACAAACCCTCAACCCTAAATCCATCTAAATCCCAAACCCCAAACCCTAAACCCTTAACCCTAAACACCCTAAACCCTAAAGCCATCAATCGAAACAATTCTCAACATCGTTCAGTCGTGATCCGTCCCTGCCTCGACACTTACCGGCACGAAGCCCCATACCTGAACCAAAGGTTCCTTGTACCCAGATAGTATACATATATGTATATACATATATACATATTATATATATATATCTATTATATACCTTGGCCTTGGAGTACCTACACAGGGAACCTCTTAAGGCCTCAGTATGTACTATACGTAGGTACATGGAGCCATTAGGTAAATCCGGACACCCTGAACCCAAGGACAGACCCCAAACCCTAAACCCTAGAACCTAGTTCAGGGTATAGGGTTCAATTAGGGTTTTAGGGTTTAGAGTTTAGGGTTTTAGGGTTTAGGGTTTAGGGTTGTAGAACCTGAGCTCAAGCCCTGAACCCAAGGATAGAGCACACCCATGGCTGCGACTGACTGTCGGTGCGCTGTGCGCTCGTGCAGCTGCCGGGCGTTTGGCTGTCAAAACGACCACAAAATCAACGAAGCCGGGCTGCATTCAGGAGTTTAGGGTTCAGGATTAGGGGTTAGGGGCTTAGGGCTTACTTAAAGCCTCATGTTGATAGGGGTTTAGGTGTAGGATTCGGAGATATGTTGTGTGTTCCGAAGATTCGGGATGTTTCTGCTGTGCGGGGCTTCGGGTATTTTAAGAGTTGAAATTACATCCAGGTGAGCAGTTGGCTTCCAAGCTGGTTTACGTTGTTTATTCACCTATTGGTTCTGTTTTCCATATTCGGCCAGTAGGCTGCGGAGGGATCTAGGGTCATGTGCAGCATGCTTGCAGGAAAGTTGCTGGGCGTAGTGGGAATATAGTGGGTGGTTGAGGCGTTTGAAGAGGTCCGCGCACCCTTACGTTTGTTTGGCTTCGGCCGTATCGAGAATTAGAGTAAAGTAATAGGGTTGCATGTTTACTGTTTTTGCTAGTGTTGCGATTGGTTTTATTGTTTCATTTTTTCATGATGCTGCTGGTGATGATGGCGATGATGATGATTCTGATGATGATGATTGTTACTGTTGCTGCTACTAGCCTTATGAGTTTGTACTGTTTATGACCGGGTTGGTAGGAGAACCTTGCATGGTGGAGTTGGGCGTTCAAGGATACATTCTGCGCGCCTGAGCACTTTCAACGCGGTTCGGAGTATAATATACTCAACACAATCTGTTTGGACTGTAGACGGATGTTTGTGAATATCTGCACTTCCCTATTAGGCTTCGGGGCTTGCGAAGTGAAAAAACCAAGTAATTGATGATACAATTTGCTGTTCGTACGATTTCATGGGTTTCAGGGTTTGGGAAAGAGGGCTTAATCAACAGTTATTGTGTTTTGCAAATTCGGCGTCAACGTTATAGTATGCCTGCATCAAAATGTCATACCTGGCCCCTGCAAAGGCCTTATGCATCCCCAAACTGTTTGAAGAGCATCAGGCTACTGGTCGATGCAGATCAGCACGGCCCACATGACGTCACTCGGACCTTTGTTGCGAATAGCTGAACACCCTACAAGCCTAAGATCCTAAAATGCAGGCTGGCTGTCCGACGCTCGTTTCTTAAAGCCCCAAAGGCATATAGTAAACCCCAAAAAGTTGGAAACCGGATTAAGGACAAATAGTGCTGGGGTTCCTTATACAGTACTCTTAAGGATTGAGGCTATTGGGTTTCCAACTTTACTTTTGGGCTTCTGCTGTAGACCCGCAAAGCCCTAAACATCCAACACACATCCATCCCTTCATAGCCTCTGACTTTATCGAGAGAACGCTCCGCACGGAGTAGCGGAGCTTCATTTCCTACGATCTTAGTCTTCCTTGAAGAGACTTGTTTTACTTGTAGCTCAACTCGGCTTAGCTTCCGAAGAAGCCATGGTAAGTATCATGCCCGCAAAACCTTATAACCTCAACCCCTGTCTGGCTACAGTATGGTTAGTTAGGGGGGTCCTTATTAGGATTTCCTTGTATACTTCAAAAAAAAGGCAGCAGTTTTTTTTCAGGGTAGTCCCCCGTAAGGCCTACTATACAATACCAACAATACCCATACATCCAAAAAACCCTAAATCCTTATAGTGAACATTACAGGAAACGGACCTTTTCACGGAACCCGAAGCTAAACCATAAAACCCTAAACCCAAAGCTATACCCTAAACCCTAAACCCTAGAAATCCTAATGCCCTAAAGCCCTAAGCCCTAAAGCCTAACCCCTAAACCCCTAAACCCTAAACCCTTATAGACCCCATTAAGGGAACCCTTATAGCACCCCTTTTAAAGGAACCCTAAATTCCCTAAACCCGAAAGCCTAAAACCCTAAAGCCTAAACCCTAAAACCCTAAACCCCTAAAACCCTAAAGCCCTGAGCCGCCAGGTCATGGAGGCCCTTCGCCTTCTCCAGGAAACGGAGAGCGGAGAGCCCGAGGAACTCCCCAGAGCTCGGAAGAAGCAGGCGCTCCTCTTGGAGTTTAGGACTTAAATCTTATGAGGGTTCCTACAATAATTAAAGGTATATTCCTGAATTTAGGGGTTTAGAGCGGTTTAGGGCTTAGGAGTTTAGAGGGGCTTAGGGGATTAGGGTTCCTTTAAACGGGGTGCTATAGGGGTTCCCTTAAAGGGATCTATAAGGGCTTAGGAGTTTAGGAGTTTAGGGTTTAGAAGTTTCGGAGTTTAGGAGTCTAGGGGTTTAGGGCTTATAGGGGTTTAGGAGTTTAGGGGCTTTGGGGTTTAGGAGTTTAGGAGTTTAGGGGTTCAGGGTTTAGGGCTTTAGGAGTTTAGTGTTTAGGGTCTAGGAGTTTAGGGGTTTAGGGTTTAGCTCTTCTGGCTTCATTTTGGGGTTCCTATAACAAATTACATACCTTAAGCGTTTAGGACACTTGGAACGTCGCTGGGCTGAGTAAGTAGGTAACAAGCCGGGTTACAACTGCAGTATGGCACGTTCCGGCGGCGTGTCTTCGTATCTTGTAGTGTTCAAGCTTGTACATCCCTTATATATATATATACTTACATTTATTTATTTATTTATTGTTTATTTTTGCATATTTACATATTTACATATTTATATATCTTTATCTATATATATATATACACATACATACAGCTTACAGAATCCTGTTAGAGGAGGCTTTATGGAGCCCCTAAACCCTAGACCCTTTCGCTCCCTAGGCTTGTGGGTTCTATTTGCTACCTCCCATAGGCTCCATAGTCCATAGTAGTTCTTTTTTTGTGGTTCATATTTGGGATCCTTAGAACGCAATCCCAAAAATCAACTACTATGGAGGTTTAGGGTTTGGGGCCTATGGGTAAGTCATCCTCACCTACTCGTTATTGAATCTGCGGGCCGCAAGCCCTAAACCCTAAACCCTAAGTCCTGTAGAACTCTCGTCTGAAGGCTCCGGCTGCAGCTACCCTCGGAGCGAAGATCCAGTTGATCAGCTCTGCTCAGCCTGAGCCCCAAAACAGACCCCAAAGCCGTGAACCAAGACTCTCAACCCCTCTAGACGCTTAAAGTGCTCAAAGAAACCCCATTACAGGATCCCTGAAAGGCGAAAATCCATAGTCAAAAGAACACCACACCCCCAGAGACCCCGCATAGAACCCTGAATGGAACCTCCTTTTCATTAACCCTAAGGGTCCAAGTACTCACTATTTAAGGACTTTGGGGCCTTTATGGGTACCAAATACCATAAATATGGACTCCTTGGACCCTTAGGGTATTCTAGCCCGGGATCTACATAAACCCTGGCGGTCAGGTGGAAGTGATTGTGTTCGTGGCCCGAGAGGAGAACTTGTGTTTTGTGAAGCTATAGAGGACTTACGGCTTCTCCTCTGGGGTTCCTGTAACGGTTGTAGTAAGGGATATAAGGTTTGTTGTTCTTGCTTGGCGTCCAAGTCATGCCGTTTGCTACAGGGAGTAGGGTCCACTACGAGCCGAGTTGCGGCAAGCTTGATACACCTGCAACCACAAAGTCTACACAACAGCAGGTTATGACCCCTTGACTGGACCAACCCCCTGAACATGTTGACATTTCTGGATCCTCAGGTAGGCCGAAAGTGTCTAAGAAGCAGTATTCATGGTTGTAATCGAGCGGTTCGGTCGATTCCGATGCGTATGCGGTATTTGCCGGTATTTATGTATTGCCAGTATTGCGGAGTTTCGGTTCGGTTCGGTAGGGATACGTGATACCGAATACCCACCGCACCGGCCACACCAGCCGCACCACACCAGCCACACCAGGCACCCACCACCCTGACAGGCCCCACCAGCCACCACCGACACCAGCCCACGCCCGTACCACCAGCCACACAAGGCACCCACCAGTGGCTGCCTGTGGCTGGTGTGGTGGCTGGTGGGGGCCTGGTGGGGTGTGGCTGGTGTGGCTGGTGGGGTGCATTTTGAGATATTCTGCGGTAAGGAAAGGTTCGATCGGTTCGGTACGTGCATAATCAGCGATAAAATCGATTCGGTGCGGTATGCGATAAAAGTATTGTTGAAGCGGCCATGGTAGCCAAAACCGCAAAGACTCGACTCTATGTACCTATATAGTATTATATACTTAGGCATTAAAAGGGTCCCTATATTATATAGGTGCTTCAGGGCCAATGTATATGCTATATGGGTACAGGGGGCCTTTGGGAATACAGGTCACGGAACTTCGTGGGTTTCCTCACCTTTGTGTGGTATTCGGGCTGATGGGCAAAGTGCGAAGTTTTGTATGACCCATAGCCTTGAGCCACCCAATAAAACGAACCTACTAGAAAAAGGAGGTTATTTATGGTAGTTTACGGCCGTTTAACGTAACCTTGAGGACCAAACGACCCTCGAAAATAGGAGCCCTGTACCCATACAAAAACCCAGACCAAAGCTGTGATATTATGCAGGGTTCCCTCCTATAGTTAAGGCCCGTTTTAGGTTTTGGGCTTCCATTCGGGTTCATGTTCCTGCACAGTGCCTTATGACATGAGAGACTGGCCTTCTGTTTCAGGTGTCTACTATGCTATGTAGGCCAGTGCCAACGTTTCTCATCCTGTGATTTACATGCCATGGGTGTGGCATAGTCCTAAACCCTGAACCTTAAACCCTAAACCCTGAACCCTGTACCCCAACTGCTCCGTGGCCTGAAAAGAGACCGTATTCAAACCAGCAATAAACTAACTACATCCCAGACCCTGAACTCTATGCAGTGTCTGTTAGATCCGTAGAGGATGTAGGATTTAGGGCTTTTGTTGATGGGCCCTGGTGCTACGGTTGATGATATAATTCTTGCATCACCCATAAGGAGGAATATACCATAATATCCATAGTTTAGGGTCCTTAGGGTCATGCAGGATTTATATCATCAACAGTAGTGCGACATCTTGAGCACGCAGGAGCATTCCAGGTCCTCCAAATGGAAGCCAGTGCCGTGGACGTGTTAAAGGTTTAGGGGATTGGGTTTAGGGTGTGCTTGTTTTTTCGTTTTGGCGTTTCTTTGTTTTTGTTTGTATTTAAGATTCCCAAGGCCTAAACCCTAGACTTGTTTGTTTTGTTGGCCGTTTAGGGTTTCGTTTAAGATTTAGGGCTTAGGGTAAAGGTTTTGATTAGATCTTCGGTCAGTACCCCGCACGTTTTACGATTCCGCTCAGTCAGAACATGAGCAGCTAAGGTGAAACGATCGGCCCGCCTGCAGTTCGAGATCGTGCCACGCACGGCAGACTATGGAGACTTGGCCGTGCGCTTGTAAAGCTTCCAGCCTGCTGGGATGCGAACTCAAGCCTTGCACCTTCAATGCGCAACCCGCCCGACAATCCAAATCCTAGACCAAGAGAGCCAAATTTAAGCCTACATCATAGCCTCATCATCTCTGATCCTTAACCATACAAATAAGCCCTAAACCCTAAAGCCAGCTAAGGAGATCCGAACGATGCTGCCATCGATAATCGGGTACGAAAGCTGGCAGAAGATCGCAGGAGTCGTCCGAAGGAGGTGCTCGCACGATTTGTGTTCTCTATGGGCCGGAAGAAGTATTATAATGCTATGTTTAGGTTTCTAGAGCATATAATTCTGGTATAACATGCCGCCAAAATATTGAGCCCCTGCAGTGCACTGCATTATAGAGTTCAGGATAGGGACTTGGGGTGCAGCAGTACTGAGGCTTGAGCGTTTGGGATTTCGGGCGCCTCTCTGTAGGACCGAGGGCTTGGGGTGCAGGGTTTGGGTTTTGTGTTCAGGGTTTAGGGTTTAGGGTTCAGGGTTTAGGGTAGGTGAGTCCGGCAGGAACTTAAGAAACCCTTCCCTGACCCTTTCTGAACCCGACAAAGCCCCAGAATAAAGCCTTCTGGAGATCCCTACGAGAGACCCTTGCCGGACCTGTAGAAAAAAGATGACCCGAAGTACAGGGTTTGGGTTTAGGGCCGTTGAGGGTGTTCAGTTTTGTGTGTCCACCCCGAAAACCTTGAACCTGATTTGGGATGGACCTTCGGCGGCTTCTGAATTTTGGTCATCCCCATAGTGAGGTAGTGGTCGAGGAGGCAACCTTCAGCACAGCCCAAAAATTCACTGGACCAGCATGTGCGAGGTTGCCATTCTTGCATCCGATTCCGACTTTGTGGAAACCGCACCTCGGCATACTGCGGTTCAGGGTGTGGGGCTTTGGGTTTACACTGTCATGTCGCGTGCCACTGATAGCATAGTTGGTGTTGGTGCTACTAGCTAACGACGAGTGCGATGGCTCGTAGTTTACGATCTGGACTGTATTATATGTCTTCTCTTGACTAACTGCTGTCACATTGGTAACAATTTCCTCAGTTTCCGCTTGTTCACTGTTTTTCGGATTCCGATGGCCTGTAAACTTGCCATTCTGAATTCTGGGTTACCGGACATCCCAGTAATCCCAGTACTCCGAAAGCAAAGAACATTCCTTGGCTTCGAGTTGGAATAAGATGGATGTATATTGGGCTCGCTAGGTCACCACAACCCTCAAACCCAAGACGAAAACAAAACAACTTAAACGCCCAGAGCCTAAGCCCAATAATGATCACACATATGACTATTGCAGTTTAAAGCAGTCATGTCGCTCTAACTGTATTCAAAACCCTGAAAGGCGAACAGCAGCACACGTAATCCGCTCAGGTAAACTATGGAATCTCCCATGGCATAGAGGTGGTGGCCATCGTACCGGAGAACCGACCCTCTGCTCCTTTCCCGAGATCCAGCCCAGAAATCTAGGACATTTTCAGGTGGGTAGTTACCGTTACAGGAGCCTTATAGAAGGTCTATATCCCTTATAGAAGTCTTACAGAAGCCCTATATACCCTAAACTCCCCACCTGTAGCTTCCTTTAAAGAAATGGAGGGTTAGGGTTTGGCGTCTAGTGGGGTGGTTGTAGGGTTCGACCAGGAGTTTCTTTTGTTGCAGCTTGATAAGGCGGGTTTAGGGTTTAGGGGTTTAGGGTTCAGGGTTTAGGGTTCAGGGTTCAGGGTTTAGGGTTTAGGGTTTTTGGTTCTTGTAAGATGGTTTTTGCTTTGGATTTAGGGCTCAGGTTGAGGCGCTGCGGTGCTCGACGAGGTTTATGCTTTGCGGTGTTTTGCGCATCGGAGATAAGGCTTGGGCTTTAAGGTTGATCGAGGTTGAAGACATTAAGTTTTCCGAATGGCAATTCGTGCTCTAAGGTTCTGAAACCTGACATTCATTCTCGAGCCCTAAACCACGGTTACACTGCAGGCTAACACCCCCCGATGTTTCTTCGTTCTTGTTCTAGGGTTATGGAGTCTGCTCAAAGGCTAAGGCGGTCTCCCCCAGCATTTTGCGGCTACCAGTAAGCCCCAAACCCTGAACGCTAAATCCTCTGAACCATAAACCCCAAACTCGGCTCTAAACCCGAAACCCCTAAATCCTATTAAACCCGAAACTCTAAACCCTAAGCCCCCAAACCCTAAATCCCTAAACCCTAAAACCCTACAGTGTAAGAACCTGATTAAGCAACCCTGGTCCTATAAGCCCCAACAGCCCCAACATGTTAGGGCTCGCATTGAGAATCCTAATAAAGACCCGATTCTTAGTAGGTTCCCAAAATAAACCCTAAAGCCCTGAAACCCTTAAACCCCTAAACCCTAAACCCTATGGAACCCTAAATCCCTAAACCCTAAACCCCTAAACCCTAAATCCCTAAACCCTAAAACCCCCTAAACCCTAAACCCTCCTTAAAAACTCGATTGGAGATCCTAAAGCCCAAAAGAAGCCCTAAAACAAAAACAACAAAAGACCTAAACCCCAAAAAAACCCTAAACCCTAAAGCCCCAAACCCTCCAAAAAACCCAAAACCCCAAACCCTCAACAAAAAAAGACCTATACTGAGAGAGCCCAGGTTCTCAAGGCGTTTGAGCCAACGGCTGCGCGCCTACTCAAACTGCCAGCGAAGGCCACCTAGCCTGGAGGGTCCACATTTAGGGGTTTAGGCTTTAGAATTTAGGGTTTAGGGTATAGGATTTAGGGTTTAGTATTTATATAGGAATTAGGGTTTAGGAGTTAGGGTTTAGGGTTTAGGGTCTAGGAGTTTAGGGGCTTAGGGATGAGGGTTTAGGGTATAGGATTTAGGGTTTAGGCTTAGGGTATAGGATTTAGGGTTTAGGGTATAGGGTTTAGGCTATAGGATTTCGGGTTTAGGGATTAGGGTATAGGGTTTAGGATTTAGGGTTTATGGGGTTTAGGGTATACTAGCATTATGGACTTGGGCCCCCGAAGGACCATCCTTGTTAGGGTTTGGGGGACTGAAGGCCGCAAGAGTCGTATATCAGTAAGTCCAGGTCCTTTTTTGGGTTCCTTAAAGGGATCTGTAAGGGCTTCTTTGATTCTTTTGGTAAGGTTTCTATAAGGTTACAATAAGGGTTCATTTTGTGTAGTTCTCTAAATCAGGGTCCCTTTTAGAGTCCTTTTTATACGGGTGCCGTACTATACTGGGGACCTTCAAAAGGGCTTCTAATTCAGAGAACTACCCATATCCTCTAGGTAAGGTTGGGCGAGGAGAGTGCGTTTTTTTTTAGGGTTTAGGATTTAGGGTTTTGTTTTTTGGGAATCCTGATGGGCTTCCATTTATGTACCTGTGTAGTATATGCTTGGCCCTCAGTACCTAAGTATACGGACTACGTTAATTAAGACTGAACAAAATACTTTTCTGAGTGCATGGACCCGTAATAGTTTAGGGTTTCCTGGAATTTTCCTGGAACTGACGAGCCTGCGCGTTCCTTCACCTCCGCGCAATCCTAACCGATTAGTCTCCCCGTCGCTTACTTACCCGAGCAGACAACGCTATGAAACAACGTCGGCTTCATGTGGTCATTAATTAGTGCGGTTCATCTACATCTACCATGCTCTGAAGCACAAATTGGTATCAGTTTAACTGTTTCTTCGTCACAGAAGCTGAGCAGAACGCAAGTTGCAAGGATATCAAATTCCAACCGTCCCCTCTGGTTGTTACTTGTTGGGTTCGCGTATTTCGGTCCAGCTGTCTTGTATCAGTCGAGTAGGGGCTGGGCTCACGCTAGGAGCATTGTGTGCAGTCGGCTTCATAAACGTCTTTCTCTTGTGAGTAACTAACCCTAGACCCTGAACCCTAAACCCAGGACCCTAAACCCTAAACCCGGAGCCCCCTCAAAGCTAGGGCCTAGGGGTCGCAATGAGTGGCAACAACATCGCCAGAGTCCTCACTTAGTTACATTACAAAGTACCACCGCCCCCGCATCATTTAAGGCCGGTATATTTCCCTGGATGGGGGATGTCAGTTGGTGGTATCCTATAACACACCTGCAGGCGCTACGGCCCAAGGATGGACCACGCCGCGGAACGCGAAGTGCAGTTTGCAAAGTCCGAGCCGTCCTTCATGGGGATGGTCGTGGCGAGGTTTTGCTGTCTGTTTCTGGGATTTAAAGCCTAGAAAGTCGAGTAGGTATCCTTTAACCTTTTTGGGTTATCATATTCATTACATAATCCCAAAGGTGAACCTTTAGGTTCCTCATGATACTGGACAAACGGTTTAGGGTTTAGAGTTTAGGGTTTAGGGTTTAGGGGTTTAGGGTTTAAAGTTTAGGGTTTAGGGTTTTTGGTTTGTTGTTGCTAGTATTGGGGGCTCGGCGGTTTAATTAGGTCAAATCTTGTTTCGGGTGTTTAGGGGAAGCTTCTGCATAATCAGAACAGAGTTATGGTAGCTTAAGGTAGTACTAGCAAACACAACCTGAACCCTTAAACCCGAAAGCTGGAAAAGCCCAGTCTTATACACATCTGAAAGCTCGAAACCCTTCTACCGCCCTTCCAGTAAGGGTCCGAAGTTAACAACAATTCGGTACTTGCGTTTAGGATAGTGGGGTTTATCGGGTTTAGGGTTTTGTAGCTGTGAATTAGGAGATTGTATCGGCACCTGTCCTAAACCTTAAACCCTTGGACCCTTGCCCATAGGCCCCTAAGTCGTTCCTTTTTGGGATTCCCTTATAGGACTCTCAGTATAAACCACAAAAAGGAACTACTTAGGGGCCTATGGGTAGGGCATCAAGGACACGTTACCGGGAACTGAACTCCCCGACGTGTTGGGTCCGCTGCTTGACCTGGGCTACTGCACGGCTGCCACTGCACGGGACAGTTTGATGCCATCCATTGTCCCTAAGTCTGCAAAATGGTACTTTTACCTTGGGGTCTAAAGTCTAAAGCTTTACAAAGAGCATTGGAGTCTTGGGGTGTGTCTTGGTCGTACAGCAAAGGGTTTTTTGTTTCATAGCATATGGGGGCCTTAATAATTAGAATAGGGTTTGGAGGGATCTTATGCAACAATTATAATACAGGAGCTCCCAAAACAGATTTGGGAATTGTTTAGGCCTACATGTTGCTTCCTTGGGATTGGGGCTTAGCAATTAGGGCAACCTTTTCTCCTTTGTGAGTCACCTGTACCAAACCGCAGAAGTTGTAAGTGTTCCATGCAGCTTGTACCATATACCCCAAACATCCCCAAACCCCACGCCCTAGGCCCTAAACCCTCAACTCTAAACCCTAAACCCTAAGCCCTAAACCCTAAACCCCAGGTGAATTGCTGGCTCACAAACAATCTGGGTGATCTGACCGTGTTTCCGTATCAATGCGGCATACAGGATCTGGGAAGCTCAACCATGGTTCTGGCATACGGTGTTGATTGTTCTTTTAGTGTTTATAGGGGTTTAAGGGTTTTGGGGTTCTGGAATACGGTGTTGATTGTTTTGTTGCTTTTAGGGTTCAGGGGTGTAAGGGTTTTGGGTTCTGGAATACGGTGTTGATTGTTTTGTTGCTTTTAGGGTTCAGGGGTGTAAGGGTTTTGGGTTCTGGAATACGGTGTTGTTTGTTGTTTTTAGTGTTTATAGGGGTTTAAGGGTTTTGGGGTTCTGGAATACGGTGTTGTTTGTTTTTTGTTTTTTAGGGTGTTGGGTTTTGGAGTACAGCTTGTGCTTGTTTTGTTTCAGTGTTTTTTTCGTCAGGGTAGAGTGTTGGAGGTCCTTGTATGACGGATCCAACTACTCGTGCTCTCCACTTGGGAGTTTTTTCTGGTTCCTGAAGCTCCCCAATGCTTGTTCCTCAGAGTCCATGCACTCATATAACATGTACTTTTCTGCCTTACCCTAGGCTTCCAAGGACCGTATTATTGAGTAATTAAGGGGTCTAGGGCCCTAACTATAAGGTCCTTGGAAGCCTAGGAATAATGTAATTATAGTCCCTATTTAGGTGCTTTAGGGCTCAGGTGTATACTGCATGGGTACATGGGGCCCCATGAGGTTTCGGGAGCCACCATAAACCCTGAACACTACTTAAAGCAACAAGGGGAGCCGGCGCGTAGGTCATGCAGTTGATGATCTAAATCCTGCATTACCCATATTAAGAAATATACCATACTTCCCATAGTTTAGGGTCCTTAAGGTCATGCAGGATTTGTATCATCAAGAGTACCTCCAAGGGCACAGACTCTAGGGTTACAGCCCAGGTAATCCCAGCCAGGAGTCGTGCTACTCTGCCAAATAAAGAACCCTTCAAAACTCAAAAAATCGCTTGTTTTATCCCCTAAACCCTAAACCCTGTGGTTGAGTTGTAGGTAAGTTATCATGATAGCTGCAGTTAACTTTTTTGTTACCCTCCCAAAACCCAAAACCCAAAACCCAAAACCCAAAACCCAAAACCCTACCCTAAACCCTGTTTATTTGGTCCCATGATCTCTTTTCAAGCAGCACCTGCGCCGAGATGCCGGGGGACCCACCCCCAAGCCCTTGCAGAGCCCATGTTCCTGCTTCGGGTTTATGGCTTAGGGGTTTAGGGTTAGAGATTTAAGGGTTTAGGGTTTAGGGGTTTGGGGGTTTAGGGTTTAGGGGTTTAGAGGTTTAGGGTTTGGGGTTTAGGGTTTAGGGTTCTGAGGAGGGTTGCAGCTGGTTCCATGCTTTGCGATCCCTAACTTCTGAGCACTGAGCTCAACATTTAACACCATATCGTAGACCCGTAATCCCCAGCCCGAAACCCAGATGTTGCGCACAGGAGTTCTCAACAGCACTGAAGTGCAGGACGTCAGCTTCTTGGGTATCTGCGTTGGGATTATGAAGCTTTTGTGTTTGGGTGCTGGGCTTACAGGGTCTCCTTGTTTAGGGTTTAGGGGTTTAGGGTTTAGGGAAAAAGCCCCAAATGCACAGGAGCTCCTCCGAAGGCTCCATGTAGCCATATCGTATAGACATTATATGGACAGTTCTCTAAACTAGGGTCCCTTTTTAGGTTCCCAATATAGTACGGCACCCTCATAACAGAGGATCCCAAAAGGGACCCTGATTTAGAGAACTGCCCATTTACATTGCCTTTTTACAGTACCCAGAAAGGCAGCCCTTTCAGGCCAATGTATATACTCTATGGGTACATGGAGCCTTCTACTGTAAGCCCTAAATCCTTGCAGTACCCCTATCTATCTATCTATCTATCTATACGTGTGTATATATGTGTGTGTATATATATATAGATATAGATATAGACATTTGTGTATATATATATATAGAGAGAGAGAGAGAGCGAGCCCGTTAAAGGAGTCCTCAAAGGAGCCCCTTTAAGGGTCCCTTTTAAAGGGTACACGCCCCGCTTTATGGGTAGATGGAGCTTTTTTGTCCGGAGCTTAGGCAAGGCGCAGCCATGACCTCGCCTTTGTTCTGCCGACGCGAGGCCGTTTAGGGTTTTGATTTGGGGTTTAGGATTGGGGGTTTAGGGCTTGGGGTTTAGGTTTAGGGTGACGGCACTGCCGTTCCCGTAGCATATCTTTGGGAGTCTACTGAGGGTACTGAGGAAACATGCTCCCCCAAACTCTAAACCTCTTTTGCCCTTTTCGACAACAAGATCCGTCAATGGTTGCCAAGACCACAATTAAAGCTGTCGGATAGGTTGTTACTGCGCGCCCTACGCCCTAAACCCTAAACTTAACCAATTAATAATGGAGCACTTCAATCAGCCATGTACGTTCTTTGATCCCAGAAACAGATTTCCCTAACTACCCTAAACCCTGTTGTGCATAGATCCTAATTCCTAAACCGTAAACCCGGTGGGGAAGTCCTACATCCTAACCCGACAATTCACATAGAAGTATGTAAATGTAAACCCCAAACTCGATCTTTTTGTAGGTTCTTATGCATAAGCAGGTGCAACCTAAACCCTACTATTTGTCGTAGGTTATTGGAAATCCTGACAGAAAAGTTGGTGTTAGTATGTTAAGGTACACAAACCCCGAAACCTGGACGGAAGCTAGGGAAGTAGAACCTGAACCCTAAAACCCTAAAACCCTAAAGCCCTAAACCCTAAACCCCAGACCCAGGCGGACGCACTGCCGCGGCGATTCGCGACTACGGAACAAGCAAAGCAGCCGCCGTCTTCCAAGGAGGAGGCCGGGAATGACGGGCTTTTGGTCCTCGGAAGCCTTGGGTAGTACTGTAGAACACTAAAGTATTCTAGAATATAATACAAAACCCCAAACCCTAAACCCTAAACCGGGTGTTCGGTTTAGGGTTTAGATCGGGTTTTAGGGTTTTGCGTTTAGGTTAGGGTGCAGACTGGGTTGCGGGTTTGTCAGGGAGGGTTTAGGCTTCAGGGTTTAGGAGCTTAGGGCTTGAGATTTAGATTGCCGACCTGAGAATTTCAGAACCTAGGGTCTTGGCTTCAGGCTGTAGGGCTGAGGGTGGAACCAGGTGTTGCCGGATGTCAAACTGCTTTGCATCTAGATCTGATGTTAGTGCGTTGAGGATGGCAAGTGCTATTCTGCTTTGCATGCCGGCAACCAGCAGCGCCATGCACATATCCGTTCCATCAGGAACATCCATGTCATAGTGATAGCCACGAACTTTATCTGCATTGATTTCAAGGTGACCTAGTTTCAATAAATAAGTTGCTACTATCGACGGTTTCTGCAGCCGGACAACCTCCCAACCCTCCCCCCCGCCCCCACTCCCCCGGTTGTGAGCATGGTACTGCGCTCGATGTTACGGTGTCGTTTGACATTGTGTGCCTTTGTTGTTGGTGTTGCTGGTACTTTCAGCAGAGGCAAAGGGGTTTTGGGGACCGGCGAAGTTCCGGAAAAGTAGTGTGTATGGACTTTCATGCATTTTCTCGGTCATATAGGGGCCATCATGATCAAAACCCTAAGCCCTAAACCCTCAACCGTGGCTCCTTCTTGTCAGGGGTTCGTCTCTGGGGCTCAGCAGGGGTGCAGGGCATGGGGGCCCAGGCAGTCAGAAGTAGGTCTTGGGATAATCTATCCTACAATGCCCCATAAACCCTGAACCCTAAACCTATCATACAACGGGTACGCAATGGTATGCAAGGAGGGTTTCAAGGTACCGGTTTTGAAAGGTTTGGGTTTGATGTTGCGGGCATAGCTTGAGAGCTCCGGGCTCACCTTTAGGGTTTAGGGCTTGAGGCTTTAGGGCTTAGGTCTTCAGGGTCTAGGGTCTAGGGTTCAGGTTTAGGGTTCAGGGTTCAGGGTTCAGGGTTTGGGGTCTAGAGTTTAGGGTTTAGGGTTAGCATGTGAAGTCAAGGCTTACACAGGCTTTTCACTGTTCGGGTTTAGGGTTAGGGCCCCTAAACCCTAAACCCTAAACCCTCTACGCCAGGAGGCCAAAACTGGAACGGGGTCTTCGTTCGAGGGTTCGGGATGTCGATTTCCCCAGAGAACCCAATGCCCCTTAATTAAGGAATATACCTTACATCATAATATTAAGGCCCCTATAATTTAAGGCATATTCCTTAATTAAGGGGTATTGGGTTCTCAGGGTATCTCTGTCTTTTATGGGTGACGACGGCCTGGGAAGCCAAGCGAAGCCGATGGTTCAGGGCGAGCGGAGGTTTAGGGTTTAGGGTTTGTTTAGGGCTTAGGGTTTAGGGTTTAGGGTTTGTTTAGGGTTTGGGGTTTGGGGTTCAGGCTTGCAGTTGAAGCTTTAGTACGGCTTTAGGGTTTAGCTTGCAGCTCTAGGGTTGTAGGGGGGGACCCTAAATCCTAAACCCTAGACCCTAATCAAAGAACCCTCACCTTCCAGCCGAAACCCATCCTTAAGGAGCCGAATTTCACAGTGGCAGTAGGACTCTCCGAGGGTAGGGCCGATGTTGCATCAACCCTAAAGCCTAAACTCCTAAACCTAATCTCTAATCGCCCCCTAAACCCTAGGCCCTAAAATGCCTAAACCTGAAAACCTAGACTCTAAACCCTAAACCCTAATCCCTAAACCCCAAACCCTAAACCCTAAACCCTAATCCCTCCACCCTAAACCCTAAGCCGCGAAGGTCCCTTTGTCATACCAGACACACCCGACTTGGCTTCTCGGAGCTGAGCCCGTCACGGAGTTTAGGGTTTTTGGGGGAATCCCAAAAAGGAACTACGAAGGAGCCTATGGGTAGGGTCGTGGAGTTTAGGGTTATGGGGGGGGCTTTCGGGGATCGAAGGTTTAGGGTTTAGGGTTCAGGGTCTAGGTGTTTAGGAGTTTAGGGTTTTTGGGGCTTTTGGGGGATCGAAAGGTTTAGGGTTTGGGGTCTAGGAGTTTAGGAGTTTAGGGTTTAGGGTTTGAAGGTTTAGGGTCTAGGGTCTAGGAGTCTAGGAGTTTAGGGCTTTCGGGATCGAAGGTTTAGGGTTTAGGGTCTACCGATAGGCTCCTAAGTAGTTCCTTTTTGTGGTTTATATTTCGAATCCTATAAGGTAATCCCAAACAGGAACTACTAAGGAGCCTATGGGTAGGGTCTAGGAGTTTAGGGTTTAGGGTTCGGCTTTTCGGACTTTCGGGAGCCGAAGGTTCTGGGGGTTGAGAGGTTTTCCGGCTTTTTTTTGCTGGAAGGTTGGTGCCCTAGACCCTTAACACTGGTCTTTAAGCTTTGTCAGAGTGTGATGATGTTGAACTTCATGCCCCAAGCCGAAACAAGGCCGTGGTGGGTTCTTTGGAGCGTTTGCCCTAAAACCCCTAAACCCCTAAGCCCCAAACCCCTAAAACCCTAAAACCCTAAACCCTAAACCCCTAAACCCTAAACCCCTAAAGCCCTCCTCTCAGGTTCAGACAGCGCTGCAAAAGCTGGGATACAGCGAGGCCGTAGATTGCTTGGAGGACTGCCTGGTTCTTAGGAATGCCGGAATGGGTTAGTGTGGACTACTATCCTAAACCCTAGACCCTAAATCTTAAACCCTAAACCCTAAACCTTAAACCCTAAACCTTAAACCCTAAACCCAAGGCTTAGGCCGCCCACCTCCGTG